TATATAAGTATATAATATATATATATATATATTTAGTAATAATAGAACAACTAGAATATAGAATATATATAGTATATATATATATATATATATATATATTTGTAGATGTAGATATAGATATGTTTATGTCCATGTCTATGTCTATACCTTTACATATGCCTATACCTATACCTATACCTATACCTATATTATATATATATATATATATATATCCTTCGAGGACCGTACATCTCTCCTTCCGGAAAAGCATCCGAAAGGAAGTACCTTAGAGCACCAGAGCGGCTCTACCACGCCGCCGTGCGCGGAGATTACGCTAGGTAGTCACTATTACACTCGCAAAATATAAAGATATATACATATATATATAGATATATATATAGGTATATATAAATTTCTATTTGTTTATCGATCGCCATTTATTTTTCATTTGTGTGACCGAGGGTACAGGATGAATGATAACTCCGGATACACCAACGATCTAGTCCATATAGGGTGCGAGTTGACGAATAATTTGGATATGTATGGCTCTTTTTTCTTCTTCGAATATTATGAATCGGAGGTTACATACGACGAAGAGGTTTTGAACAAGTATGATGCACCAGCTTGGGAACATCAATTACACTACTTTTTTTATGGTGGTGAAAGAGGGCAATGAAGAATAATTAGCTATCAATCGTGAAATCAACGCAAAGCCTCTTTAAAAGATAAATCTAGTTTTATTTCAATATACAACAGGCAGTAGTTGGCCCAGCTTAAACGACACGTGTCGCCGAAAGGTTAGTTGTTCGCCTCAAAATGCAAGACAACAGGCTGAAGTTTGCCCAGTCTCCCACAAAAGTGAAAGGTTAGTCGCAACTCATAAATTCCCTTGCTCGATTCACAGCAACGCATCAAGCAAGTAAGGGTAGGGGTAGACCATTTTGTGGATTAGTCCCACAGGTCGATATGTCGACGGATACCCAACCGCTGGTTTTGCGGATGTAGGTCGTCGATAGGGCAGTCATCGTCGACGGAATGTCGTCCACGAGGAGTTCGGGGCTCTCGAATGTTGGGCGAAGGGGTCTCTTCACAACCGGCTTCGGAGTTTGTTCGATATCTCTGGGGATGGAGGTCATCTAGCATTGTTACTAAATAAATTCAGAATTGACTTTCTTGTTCTGATATGTTGTGTAGTAAACTAATAGCATTTTGACGGCGATGCTTGGTATATATACTCTTCTCTTGAATTCAATTTATGCCATTTCTTTAGATTGTGGCTTCCTTTTTCCATCACGTACTAAATTTTTAATTTACACATCCTGACCACTGATGGACTGATTATTGATGGTTCAATTTGTATAAAAAATAAAAAAAGGAATTGCTCAGTATTTAATACCAGCACTTGTTCTTTTTACAAAAAAGATTTTGGGTTTGTTTTTAAAAATAGTGATGAAATCATCTTCAGTAAATAAAAATAAAGCACGGCTGGGGCGCCGCGGGGACCGTAAGCGTTTAATCAAGCATTGCACCGCTGATTTTCAAGAATATTTCCATATTCATTAACTTTAATTAAAAAAAAATCAAAAAACAGAGGCAGGACCGATCCTTAGGGGAAAAAACCCACATTTCCTTTCTTCTATGTGAATATAATATTGGCCGTGAAAATGTTAAACCCAAAATTTCTATTGGGGGGTTTTTTTGGATGGATTATTTTCACTAAACCCTACACCCTAAAATTTTATCAAACAAGACTTTCGGAAGTTGAACTTGTCTCAGTGAGACTCAGGGTTGGGGACTTAGGATCCCTGGGGTCTCTTAAGAAACAGGGACTCTACAAGCTACGCTTTCGGTGATAAATACACTGTTTACAAGCAGTACCGGCCACAGGCCCCCTACACGGCACATTTTTTCCGGTCCCTCAATATTGCCTCTATATTTATTTCGTTTTTGGTTTGTTTGTAAAAAAAAACATCAATCGAATAACTATCCCACCGTGGCACCGGGGGTCCGGGGCTTGGCGCCCGCGGCAGACTTCAACACGTGCTTCATATATGCTGAAAACGTAGTTCGTTTCGTTATACGTTAATGCTTATTTTTGAAGCCGTTTTCCCGTTTTCAGGTAGTATACTGGGAGATAATTCTAAAAACCAATTTTGGTTGGATCTACTTTATATGGCCCAATTAATAGCTATTATATTTTGACAGTAGAAAATCTGTCCAACTATAAACAACTCAACAAATATTATGGTGAAATATAGTTAAGTGAATTATGCCAAATATAAGGGCAGGCAGAAATCAAGACCTTCTGGGCCTATACATAACGAATAAAAACGTAGTACGTTTTACGTTAACACATCAATTTAAAAGCGTGTTTACGTATTACGAATAGGAGTCTGGCCCGCGGTCATCCATTCATCTCTCAAACCAACTCGAAGAAGCTAGAATAGTCAAGAAAGTGAAACTAAAGATTTCAAGAGTCTAGAGAGATCAGTAAAAAAACCCCCCCCAAAAATAGTAAAAAGTATGTACAACTAGGTATACCAGTGCTTTTTCATCGCGAATTCAACACTCCCTCTGTACTCTGCAGACTGTCGTGAGTGTATTTTAGAGTGTATTGTCAGAGAGTACAGTGAACTGTGAATTGTGAACTCACTGAACAGTCTGTACTCTGTGCAGACGAGAGCGAGAGTATGTATGTAAGTAGAGAATAGAGACTCGAGGGTCGAGACTCGAAAGAGTATTCGCTATTTAATTTGAGGATATATTCTCTGAGAGTCTCTAAAAGTCTCTGAGAATTCAGAATACATAGTCTCAGTCTCTGAGACTCGAGTCTCGAACTCGCGACCGTCTGACGGAGTCTGTCGAAACTCTCACTCTGACGTCTGAACTCTGAGTCTTCTCTGACCCTCTATCTCTCTCTAGAGAGTCTCTACTCTCTCTCTCTCTCTAGAGTAGTCTAGTAGAATTCCTACTTTTTTTAAAAACAACAACAAATTATTTTAGACCGTAAATACTATTTACTCTAGGGAGAGTGACTCTAGAGGTATTTAATATTTTACGTAAAACTCACTACATACTGCCTGGGTTGGTAAAAGACGCCGACATTTATACATACGACATGTACAACGTGTCGGCGCGACACTTTGTCGGACATGTCGGTCGGTGTCGGTGTCGTCTGGGTGTCATCTGCGCTTCAGGTGCAGACATATGCATTTTTATAGAAATATTCTTCTAAGCCAATGAAGTTTTTCTAAAATTTCTACACCAGTAACATAATTTCAAATTTTAATCACACAAAAAGGAAATGCAGCTCAACACCTCTCTTTCAAAAGTTAAATAAAAGTCAAAAGACTATCACAAAAGTCTATCGTATGTAGTTTAAAAAAAATAGCAGTTAGTAGTTACTATTTAGCTATGGTTGGCGGATATCTGTTTACTTTTACAACGGAACGCATTACGCAATATAAACAGTAAATAGTCTTAATTTATTTTTAATATTATTTATAGTAAAAGAAACAAAGTTTGTCGGTTGGAACTTGTCGGTGTCAGTTGGGCGTCGGTCTAACTGACAACACTCAACTGACGACGTACTTAGTTCTAATCCCGCGCCCAAATAAATACATTTAGTGAACACGCACATTATATTTTTACCACCCCATCCATAGACTAGAGGACTCAAATTTAAAAGAACCAAGCCTAATTTACTATATCCGGTTTTGGATATACTCAATTTTATTTTCTAGACTTTTTCTAAAAACATTTCAAGAATTTTGCAAATGAGCAAAGTTGATAGCTCTATTGCTCATACAGTTATGTATCGATTTATGAACAGGACTGTGCACTTTTCGACCAGGTCAGATCTTGGATTTCCAGGTCGCGTATTAGCAGTTTGAAACTTCTAAGAATTCTATATAATAAATACAAGTACTGTTAGTTCAGAAATCATCATTGTGGTATAGAAGGCTTATTATGCTTGCTCAAAATCACCATCTACGTGCATGCGTGTCCATTAATGACATCCATTTGGTGTGCATATTCAATTATATGTCTGCGATATGATTTTCAGACCTTCGTTATACCTATATAAGCATAATTAAAACCTCGTTTGTAGGTGAATAAGTAGTGAATTTTGACAAAAAGTTCTGGAAATGAGTTTCATCGTGCATTCGATGGCATGGCACATCAAATGACGTAAACACACCAAATGACGTAAACACACTTTTTCTCGATTTCAGCAACTGTAGCTTGTATCACGGTATTAAGAATGCATATACGATATTATTTTGACAATATCTTGTATGTACGTGACAACTTTGAAACTGTACTAACTATGCATATTTAGACCCAATAATCGCGTTTTGGAGGTTTCCGATGTAGCGTTAGACTTCGAAGCATTTAAGTTGTTCTACTTTTACGACGACCTTAGCGCCTTCACAGATCATTTACGAAATACTTAACCTTGAAATATGCCAAAAAATATTGGAAATAAATTAAGGTCCAGATTTAGTAAATCAGGAACGCTTCTTTATTTTTAGCCCTATTTTATCTCCTTAGTACATGGATGGGGTGTTAATTTTTTTTTGTCATCTGTATCTTCATATCAGTTCTGGTCCCACTGACCTGACCAGATACACCTTTAGTGGGACCGGTTGTGTCGGCAACACGAATGACACAAAAGACAGGTCGGCGACATGTTGCCGACACAGAATCACACGACAAAATTACGTGTCGGGGCGACATTTTTCAACCCAGCATACTGTAGCAGTGTAGCTGGCACATACTAATACATAGCACTGTATGTAGTGATAGTCTCTCAGAGCTCTTTCGTGTCACTTTTAGGCACACGCTTTTACAATATATACTAAAATAGGCAGACAACTTTATAGTTTATAGACAGGAACGCAGGCAAAGTTTGAAATTTTGAATAACGGCACAGAGGAAGACAAGCGCACTTCCGTCTAAGGATGATGACGATAACGTGCTCAAACCTCAACCTGAGATCATTGACTGCATCACAGTCGACAATACAACAGAGCTCACCAATTTCTGATGCCAATCCAGTGGTGGGTAGACAGCTACGCCTATACATACAAAGATGAAATGAACAAAAATAGATAGTCGGATGATAATTATATAGATAGATTGACATATATATAGTTAGATATAGATATATAAATAGATAGAGATATAGATGAATACACCCACATACACACACACACACACACACACACATATATATATATA